GTTGGGTACATTTCCTGCTCAAGATGTCCTAGCATCTCTCTATAACATTGGTATCCTTGCATCAGCTATCTTTGCATTCATATTAAGTATATGATAACAGACAATAAGGTTCATGATGTGGGAATTCATCCAATTAGATTGAAGCCATCAAACTCACCAATGACCCAAGTTTTAAAAATCAAAATGCATAACTGAATTATCTGCGGAACCAACCTATCTATTTTCTCATTTTTTGCTGCTGGTGCATCCGTTAGTTTCTTTATCAACACTTTCTTTGCAAATTGAAAATAAGGCTTATTTTTAACAGGTTCATATTTAATGAGCTACTCCTTAATAAAGAAAATGATATGAACTGTTTTGAGATGATTCTTATTAAAACTCCTAGGCAAGTTTATTTTGTATTGTATTGCCTAGAAATAGAATGATAGTAATTGATTTCTATTTGTTAACTTGTTATATAATCAATGGGATAAACTCATTCTTGGTGTTGTCAATGGATTTTGCATTTTAGGATTTTGCACTATTAATTTTCATTACAGCTTTACTTCCTATTTCCTGGCCACATTATCTTACCTAAAAGGCTGACATTTTATTTCCTAAGGAACTAACACACAGTAGAGTGGCAGCATGCATAAACTTCTGCAATGTCACAGTATACCGAGGTTTTGCTTTCACTATATTATGGGAACTAAAATTTGGTTGCCGTTATTCCCTATAAAAACTATGGCTGCTGGATACGGCTGGTGGCCACTAAACACTATACACTTCATTATGCCCTGCCTGAAATATATTGCATCTCATCCATCCATCTCATCAGTGTATCTGAAAAGATATTGGTCCTTATTCTCCTCACTTCTGTCTGTGTAATTTCATTCACAGACCCTGAGGAGCTGTCAAAGGATGAATGGGGCCATATGGAAACCAGACAAACACTCAGCTTTACTTGTCATTATGGTTAAGAGTAGATTTTCTTCATTAAAAAAAACCTAAGCTTTTATCGCACCAAGTCTTTTCCATTAGTATTTGCAGGCTGTTCTTGGGTGTGGTCATCATAAATGAGTAAGAATTATTTTGAGTTTTCAAAATAATACTCGTACTAAATATATTTCAAAATTACCCTATTTTTATTGCTTGTAGTTTAAGGTAACAACCACAAGTCCTCAGTTTACACTAATTTTGCATGGCTGACAGTTAGCAAGTTCTCAAATGTGTGTCTGACTTGCACCTAGACTATAGTTTGTACAGTAGTTCTCAAGTTCAATATCAGGAGAAAATAGAATGGCCTTCCTAGTCTCTCCATCCATAAAGGGGAATATGGCCAGTATAATCTTAATTAAATATCTTAATTTTAGATATTCTGACTGATGCATATAATATCTAGGGTTTATGTGGACATGAAATTACGATTATATTCTAACACAAAATCAAACTAGATGAGAAGACAATGACACATTTTTATTAAATGAAAATCTTCTTGTTCCAATTTAGCTATTTGAATAATTTTTAAATGAAATCTGAGTAAAAATTAACAATTGTCATGCAAAATAGCAAGACAAAAGTCTCTTTGCTACAGCAGACAGTAAAAGAGATGCTATCTGAAAATGTACAATGAGCAAAAAACCAAAAAACAAAACAGATTGTTTCCATGCTGTTATAGAATCATGGACTTAGACACAGACTTATTAGGTCATCTATCTTCCAGTCAAACCAGGTTTGTTTTCTATTGTAAAATTGCGTGATTTTGTAAGCATAGTTTTGAATGTCCCAAGCAATGGTGCATCGACTATTTGGGAGGAATAGGGAGAAACTATTCTAGACATGAAAAGAGCTTAGATTATATGATTTAAAATTGAAGGGTTATATTGATTTATAGATAAAAGTTGCAGTCAGAAAGTGGACATCGGTTCTACCTACTGTAGTGTGATAGGTAAAAGACATTCCACACATTTAGTGAAAAATCCAACAAATAAAGTTTCCAGTACCACCATCCAAGCCATGCACTAGAAAGAAAAATGAGAGTTTCCTATAAGAAACCATACATTTTCTCTCATGATGCCAATGTTCTGGTAAAAGCAATGATGCTGCAGATATAGAGGGTAAAAACAGTTCATTTATAAAGTTTGTCCGAGTTGGTCATGTTCAGGTGTCTAAAAATTAGAAAGCCTTGTTGCCAAAAATATATCCTAGTGAATTATTATAAGCATACAAAGAATCCATTAGATAGACATCACTCACAATTCTTAAGAGCCATACACATATTGTTGCTAGATAAAAGTTTATAAAGCAAAAACAGAATTCTTTAATAAAAAATGACCCACGAAAGTTTAAAAATTCATACTTTTAATTGGGGTGTGTGTGCTGTCTGGCCAACTTTTACACAAAACTAGTGATTTTTAAGTGCCTCAATGTTTGGGTCCCTAATTTGAGATAACTCATTCTCTGTCCAGCCTCTTGAGGTTATCTGCACTTACTGAAAAACAGGCCCCTTTGAAGGTGTCTCAAGTTGGACTGCCCCCACCCCCCCAAAAAATGGTGGCATCTAAAATCACTAACCACTTTTCAAAATATCATTAATGTAGCTGACTGTTTCATATAAATCATGCAGAACTGAGACTATATAGCCCTCTCCAATATATAGTTTCTAAAAGAACAAAATATGAACTAGAAAATTGGATGGATGCCCTCAGATACAGAGCTTTAAAAATAATTAGTGGCCCAAGAATAAGATGTTATTTGCACATGAACTAACATGGAGCTCAAAGAACTTGGAAAATTGAGATTTTTCTTTTGAAAAGCAATAGGAACACCATCTGCAAACTATTTGGTTGAGTTTCAGTGCTTAATTTGTGTGAGGACTTGCTGGGACTCAGTAGCAGCAACTCTAGGCTTGGCAGTTCATAACCCCGGCACCTCTGGGCTTGCCACATCAATTATGAAAGTAAATCATTCTTGAGCCCCAGCATCTCTTTCATTACAAATTAAGCACTGTTGAGTTCCAAACTCTGGCAAGGAAGCTCCTCTATGCTTTTACCTCCACGCTCTTTTTCTCCTTAGCTTGTCCCTAAATGGCAAGCCAGATGTGTGTCAATTAAATTTGCCAAAAAAAAGTGTGAACATAAATAAATGCATAGAAAATTGCACCATCAAGCCAACAGGAAATTTCAAAATGCTGAATCCAGGAGAAATGATCAGAACAAAATAAAGTAATTTGGAACATCATTTCCTCCTGATCTTGATCCTGAAGATATTTTCATTTTTAGTGTGTGTATACTTATGACTGAGGCTAACTTGAGGCCAGTGCAGCACATCAGTGAGAGTGTCTGATAGAGAAAGGAGGAGGGCAGTGCAGTTTGAGCACACAATTATTTTGAAAACAGCATGTCCAAGTATCCTTTAAAAACAAGTTGGGACAGCTGAAAGGACAGGAGAAACTGGGACTGGGTGTATAAGTGTCTGAAAGGACAGGGAGGAGTGGGCAATACAAATTGTGTATAAACTTTTTTGCACTGCACCTTACCTTTCTGACAAAGGTCACCAGACCGTTAATACCAAATATAAGATGATCATATAGCCAACAAATCTCAGAGTCACCATTAATTGAGTGATCCTACTGCCACTACAGTCTCTGGCAAAACTCCCTTCAGATGGAAGTAGGATCAGGCCCTACTTCTTGATTTCATGTGTAGCTTTTGTCAGCTCCTGCTCAGCCTCAAGTGCTTGATTCTATTTCTCCACTAAACTGGTTGAAGCTTCCTTCAAACACACCAGGTGGGTAAACTTGGAGAACTCTGTGTGGTTTTAAAGCAAAGCTTCCTCACCAAGCAGGTTTCCACCATCCCCAAGCCTGTCCAGCTTTGCTGCTGTTCTTCCTCATCTAAACCGACCCTGGCAGCTCTTCAGTACTAAAGGATAGGATTATTGACTGAAATCTTTCTCTGAGGTGTCCTCTTAGTCGCAAGGTCTTGATGACTCTTTATTTGCTAAGGGACATCTCTTACACCTGACAGTATTAACACACGCTTTACATATAGAAAACGTGAAATGTGATTTTAGCCCTGATGTGGGAACTGGAGTTAGTCTCATCAGCAATGAGTTAAAATGTCCCAGAAACTGTAAATATACTGTTTATTTATATCTTAATCATTATGCAACTTGACTTGAATGAAGTCCAAAAGCTACTATAAATATGGACAGTACATACATAGGCTATAAACATAGCTTTATGTACCCATGCATTTAAATATTGCTATAAATCAATAAAATATATTGATTGGATTATGTATAAACATGCAGCATACTCACATTTATAAATACACACATTTCTAAATACAGTTTTGTATATAAATCTATATAAAATTACAGTATGCTGCATACTATACCGGTGTGGGTATGTTTAATAGTTTCACTACTTCGATAAGGAAGATCTTTAAGTCGCTAGGTACATTGGCAAAGTACAATAATAGATATCTTTTGAGAGATGTGAGGTTTTATTTCACCAAGTTCCCACCAGCAGTATAGTGCACCAGAAACAAGTGGTGAGCATTTATCTTTATATTTCATCAAAGGCAGGAAGTAGAATACTACAGAATGGTATTCTTCCTCTAAGAGCTTTGAAGGAATACAAATAGAAGGAATAATTTTTCGTGTGTATGCTACATGAGAATCATTCAACCCCATCCACAACGGGGGAATCATATTTATGAAAAACTGAACCTACCAGGCATCCTGTCTAAAAACAGTTCTGTGCATGGAAACAGCATCGCTTTACAGCTCCCCAAGAAGCATTTCTGCATGTTGCACTTTTGCATGTGCATTAAAGGAGAAAGCTCCCAGCTACCTTGCTTATAAATAATATCTTAAGTCAGATCTGGGCACTCTAAGTCCACTTGGAGCCATATGGCAGTTTCCATCTTCTTTGCAACTAATATCAGCGTAAGAAGCAGTGGTGATTCATTCTTAAGAAAGACTCCACAGTAGACGAGAAATGCCCCTCCGCTTACCTTATTCAAACACACCACGTTCAGCATAAACAAGGGCTGGAGAACCACAAAAGGCTCAGGGATTCCCTCTTTCTTCCAGGGGCTGGTCTCCGATTTCCTTTGCAAGTGATCTGTTGACAACCCCGCGGAGAGAGGAGAGGTTTGTTTTGGGGGCTTCTTTTCTGATGCTGATTTTTGCTCTGTATTCCTGACTCCTCCAAATCACCATCCCCCCCGGGGCGGAGGGGGCTGAGGGAGGACAAAAAAAGGGAAAGCCATCCTCCAAAAATCAGTGCAGCGAGCGGCTAGGATTGCAGGCTGAGAAAAAAAGGAAAAGCTCCTCTCGCCCCAGTGTAATCTCCCTCCGGTTGCATGTGATGTGGTGGCTGCTGCTGGTGGTGGGTGTTGGTGTGTGTCTGCGGATGTGTGCGCTGTGTAAAGGGAACAGCAGCGGGCCGGGAGCTCGGCACAGCATGGAGTGAGCTGTGGAGACAATCAGAGGCACACGCAGGCACACACTGTGTGCACACACAGGGACTGCACACTTGAGGAGCTCCATTCCCCTTAGCCAGGCAGGGTATACACCCGTGCACACCCTCTCTGCTCCTAGCTAGGGTGCAGGCACACACACACTCAGAGAAACGCGCGCGCACACAGTCTTCTCCCAGCCATAACACATGGACACAGCCTCACTCACTCCACTTCGCCTGGGTGGGCACACTGTATAGAGCTCCCTCCTTCAACCCAGGGACACATACACCCACATGCACACACCCTCCCACCAGGCAGCCAGGGTGTACACACACGCCTTCCTCCTCCCAGTCAGGGTGTGTACACACACCCCTGCAAACACACGCGAGCATTCCCTCTCTACACGCACATTCCTGTTCCCAGCGAGGTAACACATTCACACGCTAACAAATTCAGAGACTAACAAGCTCTATTGGCATGACAACCTAAACAAGGTGTCGCTAACATGTGAAAGGTGTGAAAACCTTAAGTGTCTATGAGACGGTGCAACACAGTGTGCCTCTGCACAGAGTAAGTCTCATCCCTTGTGCCCTTTGCCATTATTGGCAACTTTTGATTGTGTAGCAGGCTGTTAGAGAGGCTATTATTTTTGCTGCCTCTTTCCTCCCCTCTCGGCTTATGCAGTTTTTTTGCATTGCCTTATAACGAAGTCTTGTTCCTGATAATTTGAGGAAATCTCTCTGATGCTCCCTTATATTTTGGATATTGGATTAGAAAGTGAGTCTCCATTTCCGTCTCCCCTCTCTCACCTTGGTTGTATAACAGTTCCTCTGGAGGTTTGCCCTGTATTTCCTGTTTTCCACTTGCCACCTCTGATTCTGTGAGGGGTAAGAGTCTGCCTTGGTTTTGCACATTTCACTGCTGTGCTGTGCTGTACTGTAATTTGCTACTATGAAGGTTTACTGAAGGGATCTGTAGAAGTCTAGCATGTTGCTGTTTTTGATCTGTTGTTCCTCATGCTTATGTGTTTTGCACTAGTGTCTTGAACATACTCAGTTTAGGGTGAGATGGTTAGTGATTTTGAAGTCTGCAAGTGTTATATAGAACTGGATTATGTTTTCAGCTGCTTTGAATGTTTGGTTCTTAGCTCTTTTTCAGTAGAGGGAATATTTCACGCGCACACAACACGCATGCTGTAAGGGTGAGTCTACATAGGGAAACTGAGCGGCATAGCTATAGCAAATAATTTCACCACTAGAGTTATGCCAAAGTAACTCCCCTGTATGGACGCTATTCCAGAATAACAGTGACTTTGTTCCACTCAAGGCAGAGTAGTAATTACAATAAAGTTAACTTTTATTCTGGAGAGTAATTATTCTGGAATAGCATCCAATGGAGGGAATTAAGCAGCATAGCTGTCATGGTATAGTTATTCCATGATAGTTATCCTGGTCAATTTTCCCAGGTAGACAAGACCTTTCCTTCACTTGTTTCCTTTGCTTAGTGAGGACTTTTGCAGGCATATACACCTTCCTCTGCTCTGTCACAAATGGGGGCTGGAAGTCAAAGAATTCCTCCTTTCCCATAGGGGAACCTTCATCTGCTGAGCAGAGGAAAAAAAGCAAGATGTCTCCCACCAACCTGGGGTCCACCATCATCCAAACCCAGGGCTGAGGGAAGGTACTACGTGAGGCTTTCATCAACTGGGGAGGAACCGAGGAGACATCCAATCTTTCTGTTGCAGAATACCTTCTCTCCCATTCCACCTATGACTCTTCAGAGCCACCTCTCATCCAAAGAGTGCTTATTAGGTCTTTCCCTTCACCTCCATAATCCCTGGATGGTGCCCAACTAACCCACTTCTCCTGTGCTCTTTGGGGGATTGTTGCAGGACAAGTACACACTGTCCCCCTCTTAGGCAGGCCAAAGGTATTGCAGCCCCACAGCTAAGTCCACTTGACCACCCTTATCCTCAGGGCAGCCTGATCTAGTGGCCAGAGTCAATATAGATGTCCGCTCCCTCAGGGCTGTGTGGCCTATGCAGTGGTCTGGGCAACTCCGGGGTCTCCGGGTTCCTCAGCCTGTGTAGCTCCTGGTGGCTCCAACCTCTCTTGGATGTCTTCAGTTAGCCAGGTATCTGCTTGAGTCTCAGGGCTTCTGCAGCTCCCCGGCTGGAGTTGGCAATATGCATCCTCCCTCCTCAGCAGTCAGCACTGACTGAGCTGGGCTACTCCCTTTTTTATACTGGTGCTCCAGTTGAAGCATGCCCAGCAGAGGTGAGGGGCGTGGCTTCCTCAGCCCACAGTGCGGCATTAACCCCTCCTTGTGCAGTGCGGGGTGAGTACACCCTGTCACAGGGATGCTTTCCAAACCCTTGGTGTGGGGTGGGGGGAAAGTGATAGGAGGGATGGCAAGCAGGTGTTTCCAGAGATATGGACCACTTTATTCCCCAATTCACCCTCCATGGAAGTAGGGCCAAGACTCCCTGTGGGCCCTGCTGCTGCATAGTAATGCCTGAACCCACGAAGCAGCAGCAGGGAACATTCAAAATCAGAGTCCAGCTACCATAGGGCAACATCACCTTCTGCACTGGTGAGGAGAAGTGGCCCATACCTTTGCCTCCTCCCTAAGAAATAAGATGGAGGAGAAGGCATGCAGCCATCCCTGAAGAGTGCAGAAGACAAGAGAGAACAGGAAATTGCCCCTTGAAGTCTTTGTGGATGTGGGGGGGCCAAGAGCCTGTCCTCTTCCCTCCAAAACTACAAAAGGTGGCCAGCTATTATGGGGGGGAAGGGGGAGATCAGCTCCCTAGGTGTCTTCCACCTCCATCCAGTTCCTCCACCTAGAAAGACAGGAATGGAAATAACTTAACTAGTTCTCCCCTGCTTGCAATTGGAGTCATCTGTTTTCATTCTCCTTCCCACATCTGAGATACATTCACTATAGATGCTGTAGAACAGTTTTCCTCCATGCCCTCATACACAGAAACAGCCTCTGGCAGTAGCACCTCAGTTCAGGGCAAGCAGTCAGTTGCCCCATATACACCTTTTGCCTACCCCAGGTCTGGATTATGTACCAGCTGGTGCAGAGTTTTTTCTCCCTAGGAGGACTTTCTATTCCCATCATGATCTTCTGTTTCTTTTTTACTGGCTTCCCCCACTGAGGTGGCACAGCTGTCACTTCCTCCTCCCAGGAGCTGAATGAGTCACAGCTGCCAGCTCTTCCCGCCAAGTGAGGCAGCTCAAGTATTCTTTGAGTGCGAGTCTCTCCAGGGAAGGGACTGGGTGACATAGAGACGGGGCCCTGCCACGAGTTCTTAAAAACTGTTTGGTACAATTGCACCCAGGCCCAATGGCTGTTGCCGCCTCTTCCTCCCTAGCTCTGTAAGTGGAGGCTTACAAGACTAGGCATCATGAAAAACAATAATAGATCAGAGAAAGAGCCCATTTAGAAAGGACAAATCATGGGCAAGATGCCTTTGTTAAATGAACCACAACCTTGGCTTTTTTGGCTGTAAAAATGAAATTGATTCCTTGCTCCTTTCTTCTCCTCCAAGGGACTGAAGATTTTGCTCTGGACTGAGCTGAATGAATAAGTAGAAATTGCTGCCAGGGCAGAGATCCTGTGCATACATTAGAGAGCACCAATATAACCCCCCTTTGAACTGAGCGGATGCATATCAATAAAATATCAAAAGAATCTCAGTTGCACAAGCTGACTTATTTCAGATTTGGACATTGTCTTGTGTATGAAATTCTAGCAGCTTGTTTTTCTCAGGCAGGCAGAATGCTGCCTGGAGCTCCCAGGTGCACAGGATTCTGTAAGGCTGGAATATAGTGTGCTCCTCTCTGCATCCCCGTTGCACTATTTAATTATTTATACAAAGTGGCATAGCTTCAACAGGAGAGTTTAAGGGAGCCCAGCATCAAGATCATAGAATCATAGAATATCAGGGTTGGAAGGGACCTCAGAAGGTCATCTAGTCCAACCCCCTGCTCAAAGCAGGACCAGTTCCCAACTAAATCATCCCAGCCAGGGCTTTGTCAAGCCGGGCTTTAAAAACCTCCAAGGAAGGAGATTCCACTACCTCCCTAGGTAAAGCATTCCACTACTTCACCACCCTCCTAGTGAAATAGTGTTTCCTAATATCCAACCTAGACCTCCCGCACTGCAACTTGAGACCATTGCTCCTTGTTCTGTCATCTGCCACTACTGAGAACAGCCGAGCTCCATCATCTTTGGAACCCCCTGTGACGGGTTGGATCACAGAAACCCCCTTGGGAGCTGCCACCCGATGCGCAAA